AAACTAAACAAAACACACATACACTAATGTCAACATTATTAAAAAAATTAAGATCTGAATTTCTGCTTAAGGCAAATCTTTTGGTAATAACTAATTTCTTAGTCGTGATCAATTTTTATATCTGCAATGGGCTGTAAAATGGCATATCAGAATACTAACCATCTCGTTTTGTCTTAACAAATATTATAAAACTGTCTCTATATACCTTTATTTTATATGCATAAAAACAAAAACAACTTTCCAGAGGTTTTCTAGTGGAAAACTGTTTTTAAAAGTACATCTTTTTTTTTTTTTACTGCCACTATGTTTTTACTGCCACTATGTTACCTGCAACAAAACAGGGGTTCAGCTTGAATGTTTGCAAAGAAAATTTCTGACACGCAGGACAATATCTGGGCTGTATAAATGTAGTTTCAAAACCATTTAAATCATAAAAAACAGTGTAACTAGCCACCAGAAAATGCAGCAGCAATCAGATGAATACTTTAGACAGTTTTACAACCAATTTAGCTGCTTTGCTTGTAATTTTAAAATTATGGTTTCTTTTTAAAATCTTAAATTTCTCACATTAAATTTCTCAAGCAGGAAAAAAACCTCACAGCAAATAAAAGGAAGGTGGCAGTTGCTAGACAAAGCAACTCATCTACAACTGTGTGAGAATTTTTGCATCAAGGAAGTTATGAACTGGGAAAGCAGAGTTCTTTGTAGAGGTGGTATTCAAACCACAGAAATGATACTTCCCTGTTGTCTTTGGCATGGAGAGAAGCTGAATATCTCAGTGCCAGAATTTCATATTAACATATTGTGAAGACAATGATACTCTATTGTATGATTTCTGTTGCTACAGATTTATCACATGGACCAAAGTTATGTTTAATAACTTGTTAGTTGTGTGTCATGATTATTACATTTACTTACCAAGATACAATTGAAACATTCAAAAAGAATCAACACATGGAATTCATTAACAAAAGCACTCAACAACTGTTCAGTTGTCAGATGCTTATGCAAAATCATTTGCTTTGCACACACTCTTAAAGATGTGTGCACAATGCTTTGGATAGACCATAAGAATGAGAATTATTTGTAGTGTTATCAAACCCACCATTTGAGTGCTAATTTAATGATCTCCAAACAGTTGTTCATGTAATAGCGATGATATTAAAGGGGAGAAAAATTATTGTCCCAACTTCTCTCATTTTATAAGGTCTAGTTATCTAGAAATTATCCTTACAGCAGGCAACTGGAAGACTGGCTGATTATAAACTAGTGTCAAAGCCATGCTATGGAACAGTCAGAAAAAATAGCTTTCTGGAAACTCCAGGGGCTATGCAATATAAAGTGGACACTAGCAACCCATTTACCACCAGAACATAGCAATTAGCTTTTTGTTAGGTAACTCGTAAAAATAGAAGAGTATGTGTGTAAAAGGAACCAACCCAGAGGTTAAGAGATTGAGATAATGCATGTTAAGTGTTTTTAGTACACTAAAGTGCTTTTATAAGTGATGGTGATCAAAAGCATGCAGTATACATTGCAAATAAGCAGGGAGCAAATGTAGATTTTACTAGTCTGATGAGTGGGTGTTTTCCTCTTCTCCCCCATCGTGGGCCCACTTTCTCCTGTCCTACAGGTTTGGATGTAAAATTTCCAGAGACTTTGAAGCCATGGGGAAAAGAAAAAGTGGAGAGGAAGTGAAATACATGCACTTTTTAAACCAAAACTCTAAACATATTTTATTGCTGAAAATGTTCTCTGGTGGCATATTTATGAAATGTAAAGGGTACTGGTTTTCTTAAAGCAAAGCTGCAAACATTCAATATTTATTTACTTACTTCATTTCTACTCTGTCTCTCACCCCAGTGGGGACCCAGTGTGGCTAGTTAATCCTGCGTACATCATTCTCTCCTCACAACAACCCTGTGAGGTAGGTTAGGCTGAGAGCATATGACTGGCCCAAGGTCATTCCGCAAGCTTCCATGGCACGAGTGAGGATCTAAATCCGGCTTTATGTTATCTTAGGTCATTTATGTTCATTTTTACTGAACATGGGGGGGGATAAAATTTGAACATGGAATGTACAAATTTTGTAGCAAACGACATAAAGCCTTATTAGAATAAAGTATCATATAACCAGTATCATAGAATCAGCAGTATACTTGGATATTGAGTTAAATTTCATAACAGTGAACTACTCTGTTGTATCTTATCATACATATTAACTGTTCATCTTGCAAACAAACAGCAGAGGGGAAAGCTAGTTATGACAATACAAAACTGGCCAGTTGGCAACTCTGTTCACAACATATTTTGTACTCATATGCTCCGGGGTAGGGGGGTGTCCCTTAGACCTGGGGTTGCCATACCAGAGACCTCTCACCAGCACCTAAGCACCACTGGGAGGAAATAGGGTGGAGGCACATACTGGAATTGTGCTAGCACACTGAAAGTGATGTTGGATGCTGTAGGATTTGCAAAAATCATAGGGGTTTTTTGTGTGCTAATCCTAGAGTCACATGACATCACTTCCAGTTTTCACCAGAAGTATGTCAGCATGCCAACATGATGCTGGCATGCCAGTCCCTTCCCCCTAAACGCTCCCAAAGTTTGCTGGCTGCAGCATGACAACTTTACTTGGATCTGAACCTTTGGGGAGGCGGTCATGTCCTTGACTCATGGAGACTCAGAATTAGGATACGTTTCACATGTGGAAAATTTCCAGGCTTGGGTTATACTACCAAGCTTAGAGTAAGCATGGATTCCCCCATTAGGTACAGTAAAAACCCTACAAGTGATCCACCTCCCATGTATTATTCACATTTAGGGAAAGGCATCATGTTCTACACGGAAATGCCTTTGCTGTATTTTTTGCAAGAGGCCAGTGTTCAATTTGCTTTGTCATGCTGCTTTGCCAGTAAATAAAATGCATGAGTTTTTGAAGTGATGATGTAAGACTATGTCTCATTCTAGAGGGTTGTGAAAATGAATCCATTGCTCATGTGAAGATGCCTGTAGAAATAATTCTTCTGATTTGAACAATGTGCATCCTTTTGTTGTTCAGTCGCACAGTCGAGTCCGACTCTTCGCAACCCCATTGACCAGATCCCGCTAGGCCTTCCTGTTTTCCGCCGTCCTCTGAAGTTTGCTCAATTTCATGAGACTTGCATTTATGACACTGTCTAACCATCTCATCCTCTGCCGTCCCCACCTTCTTTGACCTTCAATCTTTCCTATCCTAAAACTCCTTATAAAATGTCATATAACTGGAGAGCAAATAATGGGGGAAAAACCCATTTATTTTATACTTTTAAGTTCAGAAAGCTACTGTCCAAATGGAAAACTGAATTAACATTAATGCACTTTAATGGCTTCAGCTGAAATGACTGGCTTTTTCAGTCAGTGAGGCCCTATCTTTCTAGCTTCTCTAGAAAATGGCATCCCTCAGAGCAACCACTTCAGCAGCCTTAGATGGAATTTGGGATACTTATCAACAATTACATGTTGCATCACTTACATCAAACTCTACATCTCTCCAATGAGAATTCCACAAGGGTAGCCACTCTATATCACCACAGTAAAACAGAAACCCAGGTGCACCTTACAAACGAATATTTATTCCAGCCCAAGTTTTCATGAGTAAGAGATGTAGGTCCCATTTAATTCAATGGGGCTTATTTCCCCCCACACCCCAAAAGTGTTCTTAGGATTGCAATCTACTTCTTTTTATTATTGGATCTTGCATTAAACCAGTCTCTTTTGTAGCATTTTGACCCCCAGCCCGTGCTGCTTTTCTGATGCAAATATAAAAAAAAGTTAAAGAGATGTAGAAAAAAGTTTGAGGCCAGTGGCACATTTAAGACCAACAAAGTTTTAGTCTGTGTATAAGCTTTTGTATGCACACACACTTTTTCAGATACATTGAAGCAGATGACACCAACCATTACAGGTAGGTAATGGGTGAGGAGGGTGTTGGCAAGAAGGGCCAATTAGAGTCAAGATGCTTAAGTAACTGAGCAGTAAATATAGGTAAGACTGGATGAAGGCAATTGGAGACCTGTGAACAGCAGCAAATTAGCATACAGCATAATAAAGGAGTTTACAACAGGTGAGACTTTAGCATGTGTAGCAAGATAAGAAACTAATAGCACTGTTAAGCACTGGGGATTCTCATTGTCCTGAGTGCTGTAATAACTTGTAACTCTGCAATCTCTCTAAGTTCTTTTGCAATAAAACAGCTACTTTGGGGGTCTCCCACTGAATATCCTGGAAGGTCAAAGAGTTCTCCTACAGGCTTCTCTGTTTTCTGATTCTTGATTTCAGATTTGTGTCCATTTTTTCTTTGGTGTAGTGTGACCAGTTCAAGAGACGTAGACTCCAGTGCATCTGAGAAAGTGAACTTTGAACCACGATAGTTTATGTGGGAATAAAAGTGGCTAATTTTGAAGGCTACACTAGACTCTGTCTCCTATTTTTTGTTGTTGTTCAGTCGCACAGTCGAGTCCGACTCTTCATAACTTATTATCTCATATTATTATTATTTCGTATTAGTTCTCTGTATTATTTCTGCCTATATCATTATTTTACTGGGTACACACACTGAGAGCCAGTTTGGTGTAGTGGTTAAGTGTGCGGACTCTAATCTGGGACAACCAGGTTTGATTCCCCACTCCTCCACTTGCACCTGCTGATGTGACCTTGGGTCAGTCACAAGCTCTGGCACAGCCGTCCTTGAAAAAGAGCAGTTTGTGTCAGAGTTCTCTCAGCCCCACCCACCTCACAGGGTGTCTGTTGTGGGGAGGGGAGGGGAAGGGAAAGGAGTTTGTAAGCCGCTCTGAGACTCCAAGTGAAGGGCGGGGTATAAATCCAATCTCTTCTTCTTCCTGTCATTTAAATGTTACCTCCCACATTCGCCCTACTGGGCGGCTCATAAAAAGCCTTCTGATTAGGAAGGCGCACTTCCCAGACTCTTGGCGGGGGTGCGCGCGCGCGCGGGTTGCCTTGAAACCGAACCGCGACGGCTACGGGAAGGGCAGGACCTCCGCCTGGCCTTTGCCTCTCGGCGCTCCCGTCACTTCTCGCGAGACGAGGGCGGCCGCTACTTGCCGGCCTGGGTTTCCCTCAGCGTTCCGGGTGGTGTCCGGGCTCAGCGGTTTGTTTGTTTCTCTCCCTCCCTCCGGCTCTCTGCTCTTCCCCCTCCCTCCCCGCGAGCGAGGCCCGGCGTCCTTCGGATCAGGTGACGCAGAGGTAGGGTGAAAGAGAGAAGGAGGGCGCGAGGGGAGGATTGACGTCTTTCGCCCACGTGACAGCGCGCGCCTACTGGTGTTCTCCGAGGCGGCCGTCTCGCTTCGCTTTCGAGGCTCGGAGCTCCGCGGCGCCCACGGATCCCCCCCCCTCCCTCGCTCGTCTCCATCGACCTGTCATGGCGGCTCGGAGTGGCCGGGGGCTGCTGCTGCTGACGGCTGTTCTGCTGGGTGAGTGAGTGGGGGGCGGGACGGGGGGGGGGTCTTGGCAGCTTGGGGACGCGCTTTCTTCCTCCCTCCCTCTCCGGCTCCCTCCCCGCCCGTAGGCCGCTCCGCGTTGCTCTCCCTCCTGGTGGGCCCTGTGACGCGGTTGCTGCTCCTGCTTCTCACCTGGACTCTGCACTTTTCTCCCCCGCTCCCTCTCTCTCTTTCTAGCTCCCCCTTCACACAGATTCCTTTCCAGGGCTTCAGTAATTCTCTGTAGGCTTTCTCGAAAGGAAGCCCGATTGGGGCGCAGCGAGGCTTCCTTGCCGAGTAGCAAACTCTGGGTTCTGCCCTGGGCGCTCCGGAGCGTTTTCCGAGGGAGGAGGCGCGTCGGCGTCTTTTGCTCCGCCAATCCCCCCCTTTAGCCGACAACACCTGCCTGCAAGGCCGTGGCTGGGCCCTGGCCTGGTTTTCCCGGCACACATGACCGTGCCTGGGAAGAAGAGGGCCTGTCCCTCCCTCGCACCCAGGAGCAGTGGGCGAGGAAGCCAAACGTGGCTGCCGGGCAGGCCTTATGCCTTGCTGTGGCTGCGCCCCTGTGGGAGGAGGCGGGCCGCTTAGAGCAGGTCTTCTCCGTCGGCTGCCCTGCTGCTGCCGGGAATAGTATCCTCGGCGCCCCCGCCCCCCCGCCCCCCCCCCCCCCCCCGCAGTTACTTGATACCTTCGTTATGCAAAACAGCTGCTGCTAACAATAAAGAGCGTCTGCTACAAAATGTGTGGCTTTCACTTGTTTCCCTTGCAGTTTAGTTCTCCTGTAACTTTTCCTGTTCGTAGTAGTAAAATTTGTTCCGTTCTTTCTCCTCCGTTTCCTGTTTGCTTACTCACTCCAATTTGGAACTTTCTCTCTAAAGCCCTTGCGGCTGTTTTTCTCTGGAACCAGACTGAAAAGAAGGAAGTGACTGGCCGCTTTTTTCTCTCTCTTTCCCTGATTTTGTGCTTTGAAATCAGAATTGTTTCCTTTGTAGTTCTGTTGCAATCTCTGTGTAAGCTGTGCACCTCAGGGTGTGGGCAGCTTGGTAACCTAAACCTTTAGGCCTGGTTTCAGTCTTGTCATTGCTGTATTTATTTACCTTCTTGCAAAATAACAGGCTCTTGAATGCTGTGTGCCCTGGCTGTACTTTCCCTGACAGCTCTGAGAATAACTCCTGTGCATGTTTGTTAGTATTTGCATCATAGCAACTACAGATTTGAGTAAATACAGTAGCCTGGTTTACTGTATTGGAAGCCTTGTGTATTGGTGGGAATTGTTTAAGTTAATAAACACTTATTTTTATTTATTTATTTACTTTATGATTTATTCCCTGCCCTACCCCACCAGAGTTAAGTTTAAAAAGCACCCATGTCATAGTTGATGATTCCCAAACAATGGTCTGGCACAAAAATGCCCTGTGGTTTCTTAGCTGTGTAGATCTCAAGTATTTAGAGGGAACTTTTTAACTATCACAGGATCAGTCTCTTGAGGAAACACCACTAAAGCAACAATGTCCAAAACTGTGATTCCCACATTTCTCCCTCTCCCCTAGTATTTCTATTATATTTTTGAATGTTGTGTGGACTGTGGTTATACGAAGGTCCAGATGTTCAGTGGGATAGTAGCTATAACTTCATTGAGAGAGACTTCCTCTCCTCAAAGCTTTCACTATTTCAGCTTTCATCTTGCTATATTTCTCAAGTGTTTTGACAATAACAGTAGTGTTACCACACTTCCCAGCCCCATTGAGGCAGAGCAAAAAATTAAATTTGTCATTTGAATGGTGTGTCTTCTCTACTCAGTCTTGCAGCAGTGATTGCACAAATGAAACTTGCAATGTTCTTAACGCATTTGCCAGCACTGCATCTTGTGGGAACTGGATATAGTGCTCTGTGTAAATAAGCATTGCATGTAATAGGACTTAGTTATTAGTTGTGATCATAATTTATTCGCCCTGTGAGTAGCTGCACGGCGATTTTGAATTGTCTTTATATCTGCTTGTGTAACAAGTCTTCAGTCCTGTGCAGACTTGAGTTGAATTCAGTGGGACTATTTTCAAAATAAAGATGCATAAGGTTGTTCTGTTAATACTGCTAGTGGAATCAGGTTATGTAAATCAAATAAATGAGAGGGGTTTTTTTTTTGTATTGTTGCATTTGTGTGTGTGTGCGTGTGTGCCCACACACGAAAGTCATGGTGACCTCTGGTGACTTCTGCTGGGGCATGGAGGATGTTCAGAGAAATGGCTTGATAGCTTGCCTGTGCCTCCCGGCCCTGGTATTCTTGGGAGGTCTCCCATCCAAATACCTGCCAGGGTCAGCCCCGCTTAGCTTCTGAGATCTGACGAGGTTGGGCTTGCCTGGGCTATCCAGGTCAGGGCAAATGAAAGGAGTCTTGAGGGGTCCATTATGCAGGCTAGGGCATAGAAATAAACATGGGGAGGGGGCTGTGGCTCAGTGAAAGAGCATGCAGAAGATCTCAGGTTCAATTCCCAGCATCTCCAGTTAAAGGATCAGCTAGTAGGTGATGTGAGAGACCTCTACCTTATGCCCTGGAGAGTCGCTGCCAGTATGACTAGACAACACTGACATTGGTGAACCATGTTTTTCTTCAGTATAAGGCAGCTTCATGTATTTGTAGCTCAGATTTCTAGAGTTACCCTATGCTGATTTAACCTAGCCCGACAGATATCTTCATTTGATTCAATTATGGATGTTTTCTTGAGTGTGGATACCGATGTGCTTCTTCTCAGAAGAGGTTGCTTTCATCCATCCCAGAAGAAATTGCTTCCTCAAGGTGAAAGAAAATCTTGCGATGTCGTTAGAGATCAACCTTGCAAAGTTAGGCTGTAGTATTTTGTGTCTTTCACAAACAAAGCAAGGGTGTGTTATCTTTGGAAAGCTATAGCTGAGGAGAATGCATGAGTAGTTTGGTTAACAATGTTATTTTATTGAAACACGGATTAGGAGGCTACAAGGACAGACTATCGTGAGGTGAGGCCTACTGATCACTAACCCTATTCAGGCTCTGCCCCCCCCCCCCGAATCGTCAGGTTTTTCATAGCCTGGAGCTGGCAGCCCGAAGGAAACCCCATGGATTTGGCTGCAGTTGTTCAGATGTACATTTCTTTAAAAATGCCATGTGAATATGTATCTGTCCATGGCACCTGGCATGGTGCCTGCTGAGCTTTCAAGTGGGCAGAGACTAGGGCTGCCAAGCCGCGGCGGGGGATCCGCACGTCTTCACAGGATCCCTGCCGCGGGGACAGCGATATGTGTTGCACCACCGTCGCCAGGATGTGACGCTATGCGTCGCTCTGGCAACAGGGCTGTTTGGAGTCCCGTTGCTAGAGCAACGCATAGCGTCACATCCTGGCGATGGCGGTGCAACGCGTATCACTGTCCCCCGCGGCAGGGATCTTGTGAAGACGTGCGGATCCCCCGCCGTGGCTTGGCAGCCCTAGCAGAGACATTGTAAGGCAGTGTGGTATTGCCTGCTTTCACTGCTTCCATAGCTGCAATAGCATTTGTAGCTGCTGGAAGATCATGAAGACTGGTAAACTCCTGGGATTGTGGTTCCATTTTCCCTTCAGGTTTTCTTTTATTTCCCATTCTTTCCCCTCCCATTTCATTTCATTCCCCCACTGTGATTTTTTTGTGGCAGCCATTTTGGGTGTGGCAGTGCCTCCTGTGGCAGCCATTTTGGGGTGGGGCTTACCATCTGTTCTGAAAATTCCAAAGGTACAGGAAGGCTCAAAAAGGTCAGGGACCCCTGTTTTAGACAAAGGGGCTGCCCATGGATGGGAGGGCATGGTTGAAGGAGGTCTGTGTGGTGGAGGAATGAAGGTACATGAGTGCCTTCCCTATGAGCGCTCCACTAAGGGTGGACATGACAGAGGTTTGTGAAATTGTGCATGAGATGGAGAGAGTTGACAAAGAGAATTTTTTCTCCCTCTCCCAAAATACTAGAACTTGAGGGCATATAATGAAGCTGTTGGGCAGTAGGCTCAGGATGGACAAAAGGAAATACTACTTTACACAAAGTGATTAAAATGTGGAATTCTCTGGCCACAGGAATAAACAACTTCAAACGAGGATTACAGAGATTCACGAAGGATAAGTCTATCAGTGGCTACTAGCCATGGTGACTGAGGGGAACCTCCACTTTCAGAAGTAGTAATCCTCTGAATCCCAGAGCCAGGAGGCAGCATCAGGGGAAGGCCTCTGCTACTATGCCCTGTTGTTAGCTATCCAGAGGAACTGGATGGCCACTGTGTGAGACAGGATGCTGGACTAGATGGACCATTGGTCTGATCCAGCAGGGCTCTTCTTATGTTCTCTTACTCACCTTATTCCTGGCTATATTTGGTGAAGATGGACGCTCTTTTTTTTAGTCCTGCTAATTACATGTGCTTTCTTTAAAGGGAGTTTTGAACCTGAATGTTACATAGAAAAGAGCTTAACACTGGACTTTACTCTGGGTGTGGCACTTGCTTCTACTAGAAATTCTACTTTCTTTTGTCTATATGATACTTAAGCTTCTTTCTGTGCTTCTGTACTCAAACAAAAGGAGTTTGGCTCTTAAAGGGCAACATAAAGATGGTGTGCAGGTTGTAACATCTGAGTACTATTTATAAAGCCGTAAGTAACCTTGAGTTTTGATACATAGAATTTCAGCAAAAAAACTTAGCAAAAATATTTTTGTGCTTGAAAGCAACTTGCTAAGCAGAGTACCATTTTTATATATATATGAATATATAGTTTCCATAAATAAATAAGCCAAATATTAGAAACACAAAGACAAAATCTGTTACATAAACTGTAGTTCTTGTGATAATAAGACTTGGAATGTGTTTATTAACAGTAAGCTGGAAAAGTCTGTGCACAAGAATGACATGGAAACATAGTAACATTCATTTTTATTATTGCAAATCAATAGTTCATAAGAATTTATAGATGGGCTATATTGTGAGTTCATGCTCAGATGATAACCTTTC